CTGGAGGGCTGGCAGAAGCCGTGCCAGCCGCTCCTTCAGCTCCAGTTCGGATGGAGCTAGCGAGTCCTCATCTTCATCTTCATCCTCGTCCTCCCGATCCCGGTCACGGTCATTCTCCCCACCGCCCAAGCGGTGGCGAAGGTAAGCAGCGGAGCCTCTGTCTGCTTGCTATTTGAGCAATTGTCTGGTGGCCAGTCTTCTGCAAGGGTGCTCAGACACCTCTTCATGGACCTACCTGATGGCCATATCCAACTTCTTTGTCCTCGTGGCCCCACTGAAGGGGTGTCTGGCTCGCTGTGAGCAGCAGAGACCGGGGGAGCTGCTGTGACACCCTGCCAGGGCAGTGGGTGTCTGGCTGAACCCCACATCTACACAGGTGTTCTTGCAAAGCCATCTCTGAGCCAGACTTCCTTACCCCTCCTGGAGCACCATGGTATGCGTCCTTGGCTGCACCTTGGCTCTTGGATGCGTTCGCTGGGGTATTAATGCAGATGTTGGTGTTTATGCTGTGGGGCTGGTACAGCCCTAGGTGTAGAAATGAGAGGAGCCACAATGGCAGCAGGGAGCTGCTGGAGGCAAGCAGGGGAAAAACCTGTCTGGCTAGGCTGCCTCAGGGGTTCCCTGTGGTCTTTGTGGAGGTGGCTGTGTAGAAAAGTGGGGCGACTTGGTCTCTGTGGGAAGCATTTCTTTTGGAGTCTTTGTGCATCTGAGTGATGCACCAGCTGGGGTGGGAGGCACTGGAGCTGGCGAGGTGTCCCTCGTCTGCCCTTCCCTGGGCATTCAGCCATTTTTGGAGACATCCCAGGGCATGAAGGGCTTGTCCGACCAAGGCCTCTCCATCGGTGGCCAATAGGTGTGGAGGCTGGAGCTGGAAAGGGCACGTATATAGTGCCATGTCCCAGGGATGTGCAGCTCAGGGATTTGCCCCATCTGGCTTGGCTTCCCAGCAAATGCAGCTGGCCCTGTGCTAAGAAATGTCCCCACGGACTGTGCCATCCTGGCCTGCTGTCCTCCAGGAGAATATGCGGCAGTACCAGGCAGCACACCCTGCTTGGGGCCTGGGTTTGCCTATGGCGGGGACCCCCCATGGGCAGCGTGTTTAGAGAGGGACCCTGTTGCTGGCTGGAGGCAGCATGGCTTGATCCCAGAGGGGTTTCAGTCCTGCTGCCCTTAAGCTTTGTCTGGCCCTGCCAGAGAGGCTCTTGTCGGCAGGAGGCCGTGGGCACAGAAGCGCAGCCCTGTCCCAGCGCATGCCACGGCCCTCGGTGTGGTTGGGGGCCCATGTGGTCTCCATTCGCGGGGCTGTTGAGTGCAGCGCAGAGGTGGTGGCTCCAGTGGGCACTGTGCACCGTGCGGGGCTCAGCACGGCAGCCCTGGCCCCGCCTGGGCCCTTGCCCAGTCGCAGCCATGTGCTGCACAGTTGCCCCATGACTATTTCTTGCTCTTCAGAGGCTGTGCCTGTTGTGAGCCTGCTCCTTTTTCACTGCAGTGTTTGGAGCAACGTCTCTGTAGTGTCGTTCCTGCATCGGCAGACTTGGGCAGAGGTTTTCCATAGCTGCGCTCACTCTGGGGATGGGTCCTGTCCGAGTGGGGTGCTGGGTACCTTGGGGAGGATGGAGGTCTTTTTCTTCTGCAGAGCCTCGTGGTGCTGGGCACTGGGAGGGCTCGGCACTGAGCTGTGTCTCTCCTTCTCCCAGGTACCGCTCAAGATGTTCCCACAGCTCCTCCTCCCGCTCCAGCTGTGGGTCATGTGGCAGGTCCCGGGACAGGTCCTCCTCCTCATCGTCAACGTCCTCCCACTCATCCAGGTCCACATCCCGCAGCCAGTCCCGCTCCCGCTCCCCCTCGCCCCGCAGGAGGAGTAACAGGCGGAGAAGGTGAGCGTGGCCACCCTGCACGGGTGTGAGCTCCCCCCAACCCATCTCCCGGCCTCCTGTGTCCCGGGCAGGGGTCGACCCGCTCCTTCAGTATCTCCCGTGTGTCCGGGATCGCTCTCTTCTGGCACCCCCATGACCCTGTAGCTCATGTGTCTGGTTTCTGCCCTGCCAGATACAGTTACGACGCACAGGACCACTACCAAAGGCAGAGGATCCTCCAGAAGGAACGTGCAATAGTGAGTGCTGGAGGGCTGGGAAGCTGGGGCTGGAGATTTGGGGGTCCCCAGCCCCTCCATCACTTCAGAAAGCCGTGGGGTCGCCACCTGTCAGGCAGCTGGGAGGCCAGGGCATGGTGTGATGGGTGGCGATGCAGGGAGGGTGCTTTGTGCGAGAGGCCCTGCTCACCAGGAGGGCTCGGAGACGCCGAGTCCCCCTGTTCCCATCTCACGGGAGGGTGCATCCCCACCCGCAGGAGGAGCGGCGAGTTGTGTTTATTGGCAAGATCCCCAGCAGGATGACGCGGTCGGAGCTGCGGCACCGCTTCTCTGTGTTCGGGGACATTGAGGAGTGCACCTTGCATTTCCGCTCTGAGGGGTAAGAGCTGCGGGGACATGGGGCAGCCCCTTCCCAGGGACAGCTCCTCTTGGCCCTTTTCCCATTCCTCAAGGGGATGGTGCAGACCAAGCGGGGACAAACATGCTGCATTGCTGCTCATTGCCTTCCTTCTCCGGCTCCAGGGACAACTATGGCTTTGTCACCTACCGCTATGCCGAGGAAGCCTTTGCTGCCATTGAGAGCGGGCACAAGCTGCGGCGCCCGGATGAGCAGCCCTTTGATCTGTGCTTCGGCGGCCGCCGGCAGTTCTGCAGGAGGAACTATGCTGACTTGGGTGAGTTGCACAGCCCCCAAGTTGGGGAGTGGCACCCTGGGGCCATTCTCCTTCCCAGAAGTGTAGGGGGTCCCCATCCTTGGGGTCAGTGAGGCTTGGCTGGGCAGGGCCACGTCCAGGGATATTCCTGCCCCAAGGGGAAGTTGGATGGTGGCTCCCGGGCCCTCCAGCACTGTGATGGAGGCCAGGTCCGGTCCTCCACCAGCCCAGCTCTGGGTCTAGAGGGTGGCACGTGAAGTGAGATGGGAAGGAGTTGCTGTGGGGATGGCCGGAACTGTGCCAGTGTCCCCATGGCTGAAGGCAGCCTCTCTGTATCTTCCAGACTCAAACCGGGAGGATTTCGACCCGGCCCCCGTCAAGAGCAAGTTTGACTCCCTGGACTTCGACACGCTGCTGAGGCAGGCACAGCGCAGCCTGCGGAGGTAGCGGCAGGCAAGGCGGAGCGCCCGCCCCCACTTTTATACTAAATACAAAAGACAAAAAAAGTATGGAGAGAGAGAGAGAGATGGGGTTTTTAAGAAAAAGAAAAAGGAAAAAAAGAAATTTGTTTTATAGCCAGTATTTAAGGAGGACGGGTCATTCGCCTTCGACCGGAAGGGCCCAGGCGAGTGGCAGCCCCAGGCTTGCCCCAGCCATGTAATAAATGCAGATGCCCAAACAGCAGCGATGCCTTGTCTCCTACTTCACGCGGGCCGTTCCCAGGCGTGGGCTCGGGCTGTGCCCCCTCAGGACCCCCCAGGCCTCTGTGCCTGGGTCTGGCCCCATGAGAGGTAGCACAGGTTGGGGACTGGGTGCAGGAGTGGGTTGTCTGGTGAAAGTGAGGCAGGACTGGGGTCACTGAGCTGCTCTGAGGGGTCTGTGGCAGCCCCCAAATGGCCTGGCACGGGGTGAACGCCTCTTTGAGGACAGGCAGCGCAGACCCCTCTGACCATTTCTCGGGCTCTGCTGGAGTGAGGACCTGGCACCCCAGCCCCGAGGCGCCTGGCTGGGTTTTGGGGCCACCTGCACCTCCCGTGGTGGCCACGGAGGGGCAGTGCAAGATCCTCCGCCGCCACCGCGCTGGCTGCGGGCTGGAGCCCCGGGGGCTTTGGCCCCTGGCAGGAGCACAGGCAGGGCTCTGCCCGCTCTGAGGGCAGCGTGCATCTGCCTGTCCCCTTCGAGCCTGCTGGTTGGTTTTGGTCCAGCTCGCCAGAAGGAGAGGGGTCTCTGACATCTCATCTCCGGGTGTACCCCGAGGGAGGGGTGGTGGTGTGACTGCGGAGAGGTTACGGGCATCCGCAGTGGGCAGAGCGGGGGAATAGCAGCGCTAAACCCTCGGTGGGCTGTCCAGCGGGTGTGACGCAGAGCATCCAAGCTGATGCTGACACTTGGATCATGCTCAGGCCTCTGAGGCCCTTTGGAGGTGTGCCTGGGGTGTGCTGCAGCAATCTTGCAGTCCGGGATTAGTGCAGTGGCTGGAGCCCACTTGTGCCCTCTCTGCTCCCCTGGATGGAGAGGGATGCTCCTGCTCCTGCCTGCGTGCTGGGTAACCCATGCTGCTCCGTAGCTCGGCCCAGGGAGGCCTCCACAGTACCCCAGGTATGTGGGGTGCGGTCAGGCTGCCAGAGGGGTGAGCCCTGGGGCGAGCTCCCACCCTGTCCTCTCCTGCCTGGCCCTGGACTTTGCGCAAAGGAGGGTCTGAGGAGGCGGCTGCAGGCAGAGGTGTGAGT